ATTTAACAATTTTATCCATATTCTTATTCAATTTCTATGCACATATATCAACTTTCATATCCAAATTTGTATCATATTATTACTTATTAACTTTAAATAATCTCTTGCATTACTTAACAGTATTATCCACATTCTTATTCAATTTCTACATTCATTTACTCTTATTTTATACAATCTCATTTTACATTATAGCTTATTTCATTTTTCTTTAATTTTTTTTGTAACTTTAAATGGTCACTAAAACGAACGGTTGCAAGTCGAGAACAATCTCGATGTAGATCTAGATCGCAACCAGATGATTCAAGCCTAATGTCAACTCATAAAATATTTCTATGGTCTTTTTAGAGCTGCCAACAGAAAGGGAGGGGGTCTGAAAGAACAGTGCGGCAGCTTGGAAATCGAAAGTGCATTCCATTAATAGTTGTTCAAAGATAGTAACCAGGTGACTGAAGTTTTTGCTGCGCAAATATGTGAACTGGAGAGCATGATTGATAACTCTGGGCTATGGCTGTGTCCCATTGGAGAATATGAATTAGGATACACCCAGGGGGTGGGGGAAAACCAGGGTCAAGGATGATAATGATGTGTCTCAGAGTCAGCTACATCCAGGCAGTGCCAGCATGGTTACTCCCAATAAACCCTTTTGAATTTTTGGAAGTTTGGCTCGAGACTCATGATTTAATTGGCGTGACTGCCGGAATCCTGACACCTAAAATGTTTCTGCAGACCAGCGAGGTTGGCATCAACTGTATCTTACCACGGTGTTGTGATAGAGCGCCAACAGGATAGCATAAGCTGGAGATCGCCGAGTTGGCATGTAACCCCGGGCCCGGTGCCGTGGAACAGTCTGCTTTTTCTGCAAAAAAAACGAAATAAAACCAGGCATGTCTTTTTTAAGGGTTGGAGGGAGTTAATATTACTGACTGTATTTAAAGGGACACGGTGGCTCAGTGGCTAAGACGCTGAGCTTGTTGATCAGAAAGGTTGGCAGTTCGAGTCCCTAGCGCCGTGTAAGGGAGTGAGCTCCCGTTGACTCAGCTTCTGCCAACTTAGCAATTCGAAAGCACGTAAAAATGCAGGTAGAAAAATAGGGACCATTTTGGTGGGAACAGCGTTCCGTGCGTCTTCGGCATTTAGTCCTGCCGGCCGCATGACCACAGAGACGTCTTCGGACAGCGCTGGCTCTTCGGTTTTGTGACGGAGATGAGCAGCGCCCCCTAGAGCCAGAAATGACCAGCACGGATGTGCAACGGGAACCTTTACCGTTACCTTGCTAGACTGTATTTGGCATTTTTGTCCACTGATAATCTATCAAGAACCAACCTAGAACTAAAGAAAAATTTCCTGATGGTGGGAACAATTAATTCGTTTATTAATTGTTTGCCTCTGGAAGTTGTGGGAGCTCCATCACTGGAGGTTTTTAAGAAGGGACTGGACAGCCGTTTGTCTGAAATGGTGTATAGAGTCAATGGATGGAAACTGATCAAGGAGAGATTCAACCTGGAAATAAGGAGAAACTTTCTGACAGTGAGAACAATCAACCAATGGAACAGCTGTGAGAGCGTCATCACCGGAGGCTTTCAAGAAGAGACTGGACTCCCATCTGTCAGAAATGGTGTAGGGTCTCCTGCTTGGGCAGGGGGTTGGACTAGATGACCTCCAAGTTCCCTTCCAACTCTTGTTACTTTACTCTGCACTGTTCTGAGTCGAAGCTGGAAAGCAGGTCAGTGGGGTGGGGAGGGAATGGGGATTTTGCAGTACCCTTCCCCTGCCACGCCTACCAAACCACACCCACCAACCATGCCACACCTACCAAGCCACACCCACAGAACCGGTAGTAAAAAAGAAAATTTGAATCCCACCACTGGTCTGGTTTGCAGGGCGTCAGCTCTGCCGAGTAAAGCTGCCTTTCGCAATTGACTGACAGTGATTTCGGTCAATGCCGATCCATGAACAGATTTACAGAGTTGGAAGGAACCTTGTAGGTCATCTAGTCCAACCTCCCCTCGGCCCAACTGTGATCAAGAGGCGGTCCAGTTATTTTCAGATTGCACGCGAGGTGCCTATTGTCGTTATAAAATTTATTTGTCGTCCATCTCGGGGTTCAGGGGACTCCTCCCGTCTCCCCTGTCCATCAAGAATTACCTGCATGCACAAAAAGTTGCAAACATCCCCGGAATGAGCGGAGGAACACTATCCATACTGACTTCCTCACCTTTGAGTGTTGCTCTTGAGGCTGGACTGGCTCCAGAGAGGACAGGGCAGGTGGTAGCACCAGCCTATCGCTGTAAGTTGGATCATCAACATCTTCATGACCTTTACAAGGAGACGTCGGGATTGGCCCACCTGGAATGCATGTTACAAACGCTTTCAACCAAGCTTCTGAGCCATGAAGTATGTGTTCTGACCCAACCTGGTTCGAAGAGAGCCAACACCAGACAAAGGCAGCAGCCCCCACCTTTTAAGGTTTCATCTACGAATTCTGTTTTCTTCACAGATAAAAGGCTGCTTTTCCAACTAATTAGCTCTGACAAGAAAGAGCCTTGCCAAGTTGTTTTTCAAGGCTGCCAAAAAACCACAGATAAGAAATAGTTTACAAGAGTTTTCAAAGACTAACTAACTATAATGTCCACGAGGCTGAGTTTCAAAACGTCTTTGCCTTCTGCAAAGTACATTTGTTTCATAGCTGCCTTTTATCTTCTTGAGGGAGGGGCCATTACCCTGCAGCCTTACTCCCAAGTCATCCATGCTGCTGCAGCTGCTCTCTCCTACGAGCAATCCTGCGCTCACGCACACTTGGCACAGGCTCCTCAGGAACCTCCTCATCGCTGCTGCCAGTCCCCACAATCTCTGAAGGCAGCAGTCCACTCCCTGATGGTCCTGGTCCTTCATCTGAGTCCTTGCTCTCCTCAGCCGTCCACACCTGCTGCCGGCTAACCACAATGGTATGTCATGTTTATTCAAGCTTTTTCAAAGGAACATTGACAAAAATGAACACCAACTAATTCAGGTGGTCCTTGACTTATGACCACAATTTGAAACACCCCGAATGCAATCGCATGAACATGGGTACACGGCCCTCCTGTCTGAATCGGGGTCATAAGTAGCCTGGCGTGGGTCCTAGTGAACGGTTGCTAAGCAACCGTTCGTAAGTTGAGAACTACCAATAGCGATCACAGGCCCCTCTCCTTCCATACCAGCCGGTGCTGTATCGTCTTGGGTGCTGCGGTGTCTCTCCAGCTGTTCATCCAGCTGACGGCAGATCTTCTCCCCAAAATACATCAGAATCCGAGCCTCGCGGCCACTGCGCAGAGGGAGGGGGTACTTGCGGAGGGAGCTCAGGGCCTGCGCACGACAAAGAGAGATGGACTCTAGATAATTGTGATCAGCTAAGAATCACCAAAATTGTTCCTGGTTAGTGCATCGAAGTAGAATAGAATAAAATGTAGAATAGAATAGAATGTAGAATAGACTAGGATAGGATAGGATAGGATAGGATAGGATATCGGAATAAAAAATAGAATAGAATGCAGAATAGAATGTAGAATAAAATAGAATGTAGAATAGAATAGTTGGAAGGGACCTTGGAGGTCTTCTAGTCCAACCCCCTGCTTACGCAGTAGACCCTATACCACTTAATACGTTTTTAATTTCATGATTCATAAGCAGTCATCTATGTATCACTATGATTATAGTGATACATAGATTATTATTATTACCCTGCCTTTTGGATCCACGCTGACATTGGTATGATGAATAATGAACATAAAGACATTATTAATTGGCTTAATGGTATTAATATAACCACGCTTACCAATTCTCATGACCAATCTGATTAATATACTGATTAAAACACAAATGGTTATGCTGGTCTCACTTGCACTCAAAACTCTGCTCTTAAGCGAAGTGCACTAATAGATATGCTGATTCCTGCATTGATTGCTATGATAACAACTATTGTAAATGACGTTGTAGGCAAAAGCTGGGGTAATTATTGCATCTTTTATATATATAGTTATTCTCCCGCTTGAGCGGGGGGTTGGACTAGATGACCTAGAAGGTCCCTTCCAACTCTGATTATCTGCCTTAATAGAAAATGTGTCCCAAGACAGACACTCATGGGAGGCGGGGCTTGCCGCGATGGGCGGGGCTTACACGTTCATAGGCCCGTTGGCTCTTGAGCCGTCCGTTCTCCTCGGCCTGGTCGCGCCATTCCTCCAGCCATCGCGTAAATAAAGGATTCGGGCCTTCCTGCGGCAGTTTCGGCATTTTTCAAAGGCCGCCGGCGGCTTTTTTTTTCCCCTCCGCTTTCTTTCCCTTTCGCGCTCTCGTGCTTTTAAAAACAGGAAATCATCGAGTTTTTTGCACCAAAGAGTTGTAGGCGGGCAGAGCGCCTGTACGCCGATTGGTCGGCGCAGCCGCAGTTCGTCCGTGGTGCCTCTTCGGAGGAAGCCATAGAGATAGAAAATGTAGAGAAGTCCTAACTGATTTCACCAATGCTCCAAATTGCTCTTTGCAGAAAATATACTACAAAATTCAATATTTTACTGCGCTTGGCCCATCTTACTCTGTATATAATACAAACTATACAAAAAAGCATCACAAATCTGCCTCTTTAACTGTCCTCTCCAGTCTTAGGAATATTTTAAATCTTTAGGATATTTAATATAGACTTCAATTTTTGAATTCCCAAGTCAGCATAATTCTGAGGAACAGACACTTGGTAATTATGTCATTCTCTTCAATCAGTGTTTCTCAATCCCTGCATTTTGGCTTGCAGAATTCCCAAGCCAGCGTGGGAATTCTGGGAGTTGGGTTCATACTGCTCGTAAGGGATGCTGGCTGGGGAATTCTGCGAGTTGAAAGTCCTTAAAGCTGCCAAGGTTAAAAAATACTAGCCAAGAGGCATATACAATATTTACCATGGGCAATTGTTAAGGAAAATAAATATTAAGTAGCAATGGTGTATAAACACATCTGCCCATAATCTAAACTTGTAAATCTATTCTTTGCTCCAGGATGATAAAAAGCATGTGCTTTCCATCTATTTTTTTTTAAGACATTGCTTTCCTGTTGGGAATAAATGAATGAATTAATGAATAAATAAATAAATTCCTGCTTCAAATACTTCAAATTTATAAGCTAAGAAGAATAGGAAAAGAAAACCACTGCCAAAATCTAAAACCCGAGCTACTTTCTATTATTTCAAATGCTAAAATGTCTCTGCATTAAATAGGGGTCATGTATTTTCAAAATACTGGGGCCTATGTACACAGTTGCTATGTGCAATATTACTTATTCTGGACAAGCATAAACTGTTCGATGGAATCAGAAGTTTTTTGGGGGTGGATCAGTCTTCAGGTAAGCTGCTTATCCCGGTTACAAGCCTAGCTGTTTGTTCCTGTTCATAATAATAGTAAATCTATTTATATCCTGATTTTCAGCAGAAAGGCCTCTTTTTTCCCATCATCTGCTAAAAGATCCTTTTCACTGAAGAAGTTACAAATAAGATATATTATTTCCAAGCACTTTTACTGGAATAAATCTTTCTGCTGCCCCACAGATTAGGACTTTCCTGTTACAGATTAGTTATACTTTAACCAGATTTTAAAACTAGTTCTCCCACTATCACCGAAACAGCATGTGAGATTCAACAGGCCTTTGATCTGATTTAGTGCCTTAAGCTCTACCAATTTGTTCTCTGGGAGAAAAAGCTGGCATTTAAAGCCAGCCTGGATTATTAACCATGAACAAAACTAAGTCCCTGTTTAGAGCACAAGGAAAGGAGGGGCAGACCAGGTTTTTTTCCTTCCAGCAATTATACTTTTAACTCTTTCACAGCCATGCCTAACATTATTAGATTTTCTCCATATTTGGCCTCTGTTCGATTTTAATCTGCCTTGTTTTTTTTTAAATGTTTTCATCACCCAGGGCAGTGACTAATGTTTAAAAGTTTGGTTGGAGGGTGTTGCCCGAAATCACGTTTATCATGGTCTCCTGGCATAAGCTGTTTGCTTCTGACTCGTTGCTGTCAATCCGCTTCAACCCTTGAAGTGATTTGGGGAAAAGGGTTATTGAGCGGAGAAAGGGAATTAAAAACTAAAGAATAAAGAGTGAAAACTGCTTATGGGTTTGAAAAGATTGGATGGGTTATTTTTGTGTGTTAATTTCATGACAATAATTGTGATATGAGGCAGAGAATGCAACATTTAGCGAAAAAAATGTTGGGTGGAATGCCTTATTCAGGAGCTAGGATGTGGGGTTGGATTTAACACGAGTGGAACAAAAAAAACTGAGTCACCCCCCGTCCCCCAAAAACAGGCAGCAATCTGTACAGGTAATCCTCAACTTACAACACCACATTTCTGTTGCTAAGGGAGATGTTGGTTAAGTGAGGTTTTTTGCGCCATTTGTTAAGTAAGTTACATGGTTGTTAAGTGAATCAGGCTTTCCAATTTGCTCGTCAGAAGGTCACGCTACAACCGTCATAAATACGAGCTATTGATGTCCTTGATGTACAATAGAGCCTCAAATTCCTGTGGTTAAGCAACAAAGTTATGAAATTGTCCCAGGGTACAACTGTTTATTGCCCAGAGTTGTTAACTGAATAGCCCTCCAGTGATTAAGTTAGTGACCCGGTTGTTAAGTGAACCTGGTTTCCCCATTGACTCTGCTTATCAGGTCACAAAAGGAAACCCAGAACACTGCACTGCAACAGTCGTAAATACAAGACAGTTGCCAAGTGGCTGAATTTTGATCACATGACCACAGGGATGCTGCCAGTGTGAAAAATGAATCCAGCGGTCATTAAGCAGTTGAACTGCACCCATCTTAAAGCACGATGACTAGGGAATTCTGGGAGTCAAAGTCCACCCATCTTCAAGTGTGCCTACTGGGGAATTCTGGGAGTTGAGGTCCTGCCCTCTTAAAAGTTGCTGTTCATCCATCTATCCCTGCATCTCCCCTCCCTCCATTCCTCTCCCTTCCTCCATCCTTTTCTCCATCCCTCCATCCTTCCATCCACCCCTCTCTCCAGCCATCCACCCCCCTCCTTTTCTCTATCCATCCATCCTTTTCTCCCTTCCTCCCTTCATTTCTCCCTCCCTCCATTTCTCTGTCCATTCCTCTCTCCATCCATCCCTCCACCTATCCTCTCTTTCCATCCATTCATCCATCCATCCATCCAATCTCTCCCTCCACCCCTTCTCCCTCCCTCCAACCATCCATTTTCCTCCCTCCCTCTCTCCATCCATCCTTTTCTCCCTCCCTCCAGTTCTCTCCATTGTCCCATCCCTCCCTCCCTCCATTCTCCTTTCATCCTTTTCTCCATCCATTCCTCTCTCCATCCATCCATCCATCTATCTATCTATCCCTCTTTCCATCCATCCATCCAATCTCTCCATCCAACCCTCTCTCCCTCCCTCCAACCATCCATGATCTCTCCCTCCCTCTCTCCCTCCTTCCCTCCCTCCTTTGCTCCCTCCATCTCCCTCCCATCTCCCCTCCCTCCCTCCCTCCATTTCTCCTTCCATCCTTTTCTCCATCCGTTCCTCTCTCCATCCATCCATCCAATCTCTCTCTCCCTCCCTCCCTGTCTCCTTCCTTTTGCAGCCCTATGCGCACCGTGCGCTGCCCACCTTCCCGACTGCGGTACCCGGGCGATGCGGCCGGAGGGCGCCCGTGTGCCAGGCGCTGCGCTTCCCCCGCGCCCTCGCTTCAAATGCCCATATAAGGGCAAATCGGGCTGCGGGAAAGGAGGCGCTGACGGGGCTCGATCACACCTTATTTGGACTCGCTTCGCAGCCTCGCGGAAAGGAAGGCGGGGGGGGGGGCGGGGGGGCAGACGGGCGCGCGGGCCGCGGGGGGCCGGCCCCCCCCCTTTTTTGGGCCCCGCTCCGCCGCCGGGGGGAAGGGGGGGGGGGGGGGGGGGGGGGGGGAAGACGGGCGCGCGGCTCTTCCTCGCCCGGCCCTGCTTTGTTTTCCGCTCCTGCGCTTGCCCCGCGCTTCAGCCGCCTTGGCCCGGGCTGGTCCCTCCGCCTGCCCGCTGTCCGGGTTGCACAAGCAGCAGCGTGCCCGTTGCACAAGCCCTCCCTCGCCACCCTCTCTGTCTCTCTCTTTCATATTGTCTCTCTGTCGCTTTCTCTTTCTCCCTCTCTCTCCTTCTCTCTTTTCTCTCTCTCTCTCTCTCTTTCTCCCTCTCTCTCTTTCTCCCTCTCTCTCATTCTCTTTTCTCTTTTCTCTTTCTCTTTCTTTCTGTCTCTCTCTATCTCTCCCT